AAATAAGTTATTGTTATTTGACTTGAATTGATAGCAAACGGAATCCTATAAGAACTTTATGAGAGAATTGGCGAAACTGTTTAACGCTCAGTCCATACAAGCGAATCAATTCGCAGAGAATATGTTTAATTACGAGAAACGTATCGCAGAAATAACACCAGATCTGGAAGAATATGAAGAGCCCAACGATTATTTGAAAAAACGCTACTCTATTCGGGAACTCATGTCAATCGCTCCGTCCATAAAATGGCTTAATTTACTGCAAAATTATTTCCCAAATTCGCAGCTAAACGAAGGCACCAGAGTTTTAGTGGCTTTTGAACCCTATTTGCGGAACATATCAAACATCATCTCAACTACAGATAACGGGGCCGTCAATGACTATCTGATGTGGCGCTTCACCTCCACATACGCCCCATATCTGTCCAAAGCCTTTCGGCTCATTCACAACGAGTTTCACCAATCGATGAATGGTCTCGAGTCTAACAAACTTCGTATGGCTGAAGAGCGCTGGGAGTTCTGCCTTAGAATTACATCCAAATTCTTGGGTCAAGCGTTGGGCTCAATGTTCGTCAAGAATAAGTTGAGCGCCCGATTAGATCAGTCAAACGCCGCTAAAAGTCATGTCATTAATTACATTAAGAGCTCTGTCTTAGAAAAGATGAATTCATTTGTGTGGGCGCGCAGTGATGAGGCCCGGGAACTGATCAAGATGAAAGTCCGTCAGTTAGAGATACTTATAAGTCAACCCAATTTTATTCTCAAAAATGATATCGAGAAGTATTACAACGAATTCATTGTTCAAAACAGTTTCTATCAAAATATATTGAATGGCATTCATTTCAATAACCGCAAGAATGATATACTATTAAAGTCGCGAAATTCTGTGTCGGACTATAGCTGGAAGTTATTGCCTCAAGACGTGGACATAACGTACGAATACGCGGGCAATAAGTTGACACTAGCGGCAGGTTTTCTTCAGTTCCCATTATATGATAAAAACCTTCCGATTGCTATGCAGTTCGGGTCTCTGGGCTTTCATGTATCGGCACAACTGTTGCGCGCCTTTGATTTGACGGGTTTGCAGTACGGCTCGGATTTCCGGCTCACATCCGATCGTAAATGGATTACAGAAGAGAGACAACTAGATTTCGATACCAGACTTGAGTGTCTGTCCAAAGATTTACAATTTATATCAGAGAAGACTCAATGGGTATAGTATTTCAATGATAGCAATAATAAATTAATGTCAACTAAACTAAATGTGAATGTTTTCATTACAGATGTACCCCAATCTGACACTATCGCAAACTTACATAGATGTGGGCGCTTTGGACTTTGCTTTTGACGCCTATAAAAACTTTGTGTCAGAAAAGGGCGAAGAGGCACAACTGTCCGGTCTTAACCTTAATAATGAACAGTTGTTTTTTACAGCATTCGCACAGGTATTGTATTCACTAATCATATTAAATATATCGCCAATAATTGTATCCATTTATGAATGTTTTTCAGTCAATGTGCGAATCGGTTCGACCAGAGAAAGCAATCATCAAATCTGAATATCAGACAACACTTCCCAATGAGTTGAGAGTAATGACAGTTTTGCGTCACTCCCGGAGGTTTGCACAGGTATTTGGTTGCAAAGAGTCAGCGCCTATGATAGCCGAACAGACCTGTCATTTGTGGGCTTAAGATAACGAGAAGACCCGATGGACGGACAGGCGTTTGTTTGTACTCTAATTAATCCATTTGTAAATAATAATGACTTTAAAAAACTGTGATTTTTGACATTTTGGGCAAAACTTTTGAAACGTGTACTCAGAGCCGGAGCGCAAAAACGACTACTTTTTTTTGCACTATAACTTGTAATCAACGAAACGACGACTTATTGTAATAGTTATTATTGAATATAATTTATTTTTATTGCAAAAGTATTTACAAATCAATTATTTTTATAAATCATTAGAAATACTACACTAATAGCGCAATATTTGTGCTCACATTAGTCTAATCTTTAACTAAACTTTGTTTTCTATTTTAATTGAGAGACTTATTGTTTACTTAACACTAAATTAATTTCATTTCATTGATTATATATTTTGTAATTCTCATCAATTCATCACTCAATTAAACATTTTATATTAAAACATGTGTTTTTCATTTGGTTTTAATTTATATATCAAAGCATTCCTCGAGTGATGACTCCATCGACGGGTTTCAGATTAATGGCGGCCTCGGAGTCGCCCTCTTCTCGGAACTTAGTTTTGGCCAAATTTACTAAACTCTGCCATCGATTCAAATCATTAAATAAAATCTCATATAATATGAGATATATGTCTAAATACCTCAAAAGTTTTTGGTTCATAAACAGCGATATTTGCCAACGATTTGCGGTCTAATTCTAGTCCACACTATTAGGCAAACAAATAGACAATTATTTCTGAAATATAAAAACAATAATTCAATAATTGATGAATACTTTAGTCAAAGAGGAGAGGAAGAGCTCGAGTTTGAATCCGTGCTCTTCGACGGCTCCCAACACTCGCTGTGAATAGAGATCTAAAATCATTGAAGTCCTCATTCGTCGGTATTTAGGCTTATATTGTATTGATTTCGTCCACTTCTTGATCGCAATCTTCCAACAGTTTCGACTCAAACCTCCAAATGCCTGATATTTGGACACAATTTACACAACAATTAATCATTGAATGACAAAATGGGTTCAACTGCTAAGACATCTCAAGACATACACCCGTCAGACGGAAGAGAGAGACTCTCCGGAAGAATACGGATCTTCGGCCGGATTTCTGTAACCAAATGGGCGTATATTTCATACATATTTGGCTCAAAAACACCATTTCATCCAAATTTCAATGCAATTTAAAGTGAATTCAATTCAAGTTATGATTACTTAATGAACACAACAAACAAAATACAAAAATTCAATACAAATCTTGCGTTCATTTCATTCAAAGTTTTATTTACAAAAATACGTCAATTAATGGACAAAATATTATTATATTTTTATACAATTTTATATAATCTTTAGTTATTTTTTATAATTATTGTAATTATTTGTAATTTCTATACTATTTAAGCAGTAAATTATTGTTTTAATTAAATAACACTTTAAATAGATTTACAAATGATTTATAAATTATTTTGAAATAAAGACATAATTTATGATATATTTTGAAAAATTAAAGTCAATGTAAAGTCAATGTAAAGCACGTGTCGATTGAAAACACATTTCAGTTTTGTTTTGATCGCAAAACTTATTTATGATTTGATTTTATAATTAGTTTTAATTGAAAATAATGTCTAAAATGGATGTAAAGACCAAAACTAAGACTAAATCCAAGAATCACTTCAAGTCTAAAAAGAGACCAAAAATGAATCAAAAGAAAGTGAAATCAAAACCAAAGCCCAAGAAAGAAGTGGAAGAATCGATGAGTGGTTCCGACGCTGAAGAATCGGATAATGAGTTAAATGACAGACAATTGAGTGATGGAAGCGTTGGAAGCGATGATGAATTTGATTCGATTGTCGACCACAAGAAGTCTTTGCAGAATCTGAAAGAGACAGACAAAGAGTTTTATGATTTTTTACAACAAAATGACAAACATTTACTGGATTTTGGCGAAGACGAGGACTTGGATGACGACGAAGAAGACAATGATTTGGACGCAGAAGAGGACGGATCAGATGTGTTGAGTAAGATATCAGTGAAACAATTGGATGAATGGAGTGAGAAATTGGATCAGAAGGCGGACATCGAGACAATCAAATCAATAGTTAAATGGTTTCGAAAAGCAGTCAATCAAACGACTGGTGAAAGCGATGACAAGATATTGAGCGCCGAAGTCTTCAATGGGATCATCAATATATGTCTCATCGACTTATTGCCAGCGATTCACAAGTTCTTGAAATTACCACAAATTGGATCAACCGAGTGGTCAAATGAGGGCAAAGTAATGGATCCGACAAAGTCTCGGAACTGGAAGAAAGTGATAGCAATTATGAAATGCTATTTAACGGATGTCATCAAAATGGTTGGCGGAGTCTCTGATCCCTCACTCAAGTCAACACTTTTAAGACATATTCTTCATTTGATTCCATTTCTCATAACTTTTCCACATTTAATAAAACGAGTCCTCAAACAGACAATTGTCTTGTGGGCCGAAAGCGATGAGAAGAATCGTATCCTTGCATTCATTTGTATCATCCGATTAGTCCGAACTCAAGAACAACCAATGATTAGTTTTATTTTAAAGGTATTGTATTTGTCAGAGAGAGAGAGAGAGAGAGAGAGAGATGTAAAATAAAGTCCAGTTAACGATTTTAACATAAATCTTTTTTATTACAGAAATTATACATTTCTTATGTAAAGAACTCAAAATTCATGTCAGAATCAAAGCAATCGATGATTAATTTTATGAAACACTCGTTGGTTGAGTTGTACTCTTTGGACCAAATGGTTGCATATCAGCACTCGTTTATCTTTATAAGACAATTAGCCATTAATTTAAGGACTGCAATGACTGTCAAAAAGAAAGTGAGTAATGTTTAAAGAATATACATATTATCTGTATTTGTAGTTAAAGTTAAAATAATGAAATGTAAATTTAGGAATCCTACAAAAGTGTGTACAACTGGCAGTTTCTTAATTCAATCTTATTATGGACTCAATTACTGTGTTCTCATAACACTGTCGATGAACTCAAACCTCTTATCTCTCCATTGGTTAACGTGATTATTGGAACCATTCGGTCGGTTATAAATGGCTTACATTATTGTATTTAAATTGAATGAAATCTAATTTTAATTGAATTTTTTTTATAGACTTATACCGTCCGCCAAATACCTTCCGATGAGATTTCATTTGATTAAAGCATTGATTAGACTATCAGAAGAGACGAATACATTCATCCCTGTCTTGTCTTTTATAACACAAGTAATTAACAAATATTTTATATGTTTTCTTATAGTTATTGTAATATTAATTACATCTAACGCTTGATTTAGGTTTTCGATAACTTCAATAAAATGAAGAAAAATAAGTCGAAAAATGAGGAAAAGAAAGAGATTAATATCGATGTATTGATTAAGATCTCAAATTGGGATACAAATGATTTTGAAATGAGAGACTCAGCTGTTAATAAAGTCTATGATTTGATTTTGCATTATTTGTCCACTCAATCACATCGGATAGCATTCCCCGAATTA